GCCAACAGTGGGCGAACCCGCATGTGGAAATATCTGTCACCTGGGTTGAAATCCTGCCAGACTCGTTTCACTCAAGTCTACTCAGGAGGAGACAAACAAAAGCAGAGTTGGGGGCAGTCTCCAAGGCAACCAGCCGGGCTCTTCAAAAGGGACGAATAAATGAAAAGGAGCCAGTAAACAATGGGGAGGGCTGTTCCAGGTTCTATGAGATAAGAGAGGCACACAACCAAACGCAATGTGTGTAAACTGATTGGATGCTGGACTTCTAACACTTTTTTAAAAATATATTTTATTGTTTTTTTACAGAGGGGAAGGGAGAGGGATAGAGAGTTAGAAACATCGATGAGAGAGAAACATCGATCAGCTGCCTCCTGGACACCCCCTACTGGAGATATGCCCGCAACCAAGGTACATGCCCTTGACCGGAATCGAACCTGGGACCCTTGAGTCCACAGTCCGACACTCTATCCGCTGAGCCAAACCGGTTAGGGTCTAACATTTTTTAATGACCCTAAAAGTCATGTGGGAACAATTAGGGAAATTTAAGTATAGACTGTACAGTAGATGAGTGAAGGTCCCCTTTCTCCGGTATGCTAACATATCGTGCTGACGTAGGAGATATCTGCTGAAGTATTTAGGGGTGAGTGTCATGAAAACTGTACCTTATTCCAAACAGCTCAGGAAAAGGAGTGAGACGGGACGCAAACGTGGCAGAATGTTCACAACCAGAGCGAAGGAGTGAGCCTGTTCACGGAACTCTTCTTTCAACTTTTCTGTAAATTTGAGAATTTTCAAAATAAAACCGTTGGGGAAACCAATAGCTCTGATGCTTCAGCACTCAATAGAAGAAAAACCTCTAAAACCCTTCTATTGTCAGGGTTTTGCAGATGCCTAGCTCCCAATGCATGAAAGGAAGCGAGTTGCTTTGCAGGAAGGCCGCAGTGCCCAGGTGCAAAGTAACACCCAGGTCTCCAGCACGGACAACAGGTAGGGGCCACGCTGCCATCTGCTGAGGTGGCTGACATGGGAGAAGGAGCCCGTTTTAGAGGGGAAGTGGGGAATAAAACACTCAATTCGGGCATCCAGAGTCCCAAAGCCCACACTAGTCCTGGGTTATGGACCCCTGATGTAGAAGACAGACCATAGAGTGTGAGATGTAGAAAGCATAAGGGTGATGGATAGAGGAAAAGGAGACCATGAAGGAGCCTGGAAAGAAACAGCCGGAGAGTGTGGGTGCCTACGTGACAGCCCTGAATCAGCCCAAGGCATGGAGGTGGGGTGTCGAGAGGGGGGCTGCTTGACATCAAGGCAAGTCCAAGAACCAAGAGATAAGAGATCAAAGGCTCTAAAAGCAGGCCCACACCAGATCTTAAAATCAGGAGAGATGAAGGATAATAATCATACCAGGGACATTTATCACTCAGCAGAAGCCAATGATCGATGACCGTGTAGATATGAGAGCAGAGCTAGGAGACGGGGAAAAAGAGGAAACCAGTTGGCCATCTCACCGAGCAGAATCAATTCATCAGCATGAGCTGGCCACCTGTCACGGTTGAGAAATGGCCCCACTTAATCAGCGTTTCTAGCCTGCCACCCCTGCGCCTGGAGTCATACAGCCCCGGGGTGGCAGAAAGCAGCCTGTGGTGCCTGCCTCCTCCGGTTACTGCGTCCTGACCACTGCAACTGGGAAAGCGGAGAGCTCTTCATCATCTAACACATTTGCGAAACTCGTTGGCTCTAACAAATTGTTCCCCAAACACCTGGCCTGTGTGTTCTCCTCTAACCAGCGTGCATGTATCACATTCAGAAAGTGCCTCTAAGCTCTCGCTTGCCTTGAGAAATAGCCATCAGCCGTCAGAAAAGCTAAAACCCCTCTTGGCTCTGGTGAAACGCTCACTGCAGGGAAACACACAAGCCAATTTGGGCAGATTTAATAAGTTTTAACAAAATCCAGGTGAAGAAATGTATCTGGAAAAAGCAGAAGAATCTTACAAGCAGCTCTGAGAAATGATTCTCTCAGGAGGGGGCGGGGGGGAAGATGTGAAAGCGTTTATACCATGGTAGAAGGCAACCTGAAATCGAGTTTCACAAATGGGAACCTGCGTGTAACCGTCATCTAATACAGTGGTTTCCAAACATCTTGAGATCATGTGGCCTTCCTGCCCTTCTCCCCTATGGCTTGGAACCCGCGGGCTTTGTCCTAGAGGTAATCAAGTTAAAAGCCCATCAAATCTGAGCCCTCCCCCAAGGCCACAGACAACCACCTTGCAGAACCTACTTTTAAAATATCAAGTCTGTATTATTCCGATTGTGAGACATGAGGGACACGATCCCTCAAGTTTAAGAGAAATCGTTCCTTATTCTGGCAGGACCTGCTCCACTTTATGTGCGGAGGTGCAAGGCCATGTCTGCAATTCGGGAGAGCTGCATGTAACATGTGTGAGTACTCGGTAACATAGGCGGGCTTTTTATAGAACCCTCGTGTTCCCAAACTGGCTTTGGGCCTGAAACCCTAAGCTTCAACATGACAGGACCAGGCACTGGGTCTTCGCTAATAGGAATTGCCCTCTTGAGCCTCCGGAGATGAGAGCTGGAAAGGGAGTGGTCCCCACTGTGGGAGCATCCAAAGGACTGAACAAGACTGCTGAGCCATGGCTCACCCACACGGCAAGCTCCGCCCCAATCCTCCTGTCACCCCAAAAGAGCTCTATCCCAATACACAACATAGTAGAAACCCACGTGACTCTGAGCAGGCGTACAGGTGTGGTGTTTGGAGCCCATTGTCTGAGCTGAAGACACATATTCGTTCCTTAAAAAGAAGTTAAAACCCAACCCAAGTGGAAATGGTTCTTGAATAAGAGCAAGCTAATGGCTGTGGCTTTAAAGAATCTATAGATGTTCTATTAAAAGCCTACCACCGCCCGGCCGGTGTGGCTCAGTGGTTGTGCATTCACCTATGAACCAAGAGCTCAGGGTTCCTTTCCTGGTCAGGGCACATGCCCGGGTTGCAGGCTGGATCCCCAGTGGGATTTGTGCAGGAGGCAGCTGATCAATGATTCTCATCACTGATGTTCCTCTCTCTCTCCCTCTCCCTTCCTCTCTGAAATCAATAAAAATATTTTTCTTAAATTTAAAAAGCCTGCCACCAAACAGCTGTGAAAATAAGCCCAGCATTCCTGGATGGGCTTCCTTCGCTGGTGGGTCCTTCCCAGAACCTGCTGTGGTGGACCCCTGCTTGTCAGCCAACACGGATCCACAAGGGGAGCGCTCTGTCCATGCTCCTTCCACGGCTGAGCTGAGCAAATGTGACTTTCAACCTTTCGGCGAGTGATTCAGGTACCGAAACAGAAAAGGGGGCATGTCAGCAGAACCGCCTAGTCATGGGCCCCACATCCCCCAAAAGAAAGAACAAACCCCAAGGGAAGTTCGACACATCTTTTATGTACAAACGGTCAACGGTACAGATGGAGTTACTTTTTATAAATATCTGCAGCAAATCCTCTAAAAAAAAGCTGTGAATACAAACTACCTCTCTACACCAAGGGCCTGTCCATCCCCAAAGTGTTAACTGCACGACAGCCTATTCTTAGCCAAACACTTGCGGGGCCTCCCGGGAAGGACCGGAGCCTCTGGGACCAGGCGAGAGCCCTCCCATCTCCCTGGAGAGCCAAGGTGACTTGAAGGTCATCTGTAGCCCAGGACCTGGGAGTGATTAAACTCTTGCTTCCCAAGACTTCGGTCTTCTTTGTCAGGCTGCTGATTAAGCGGCCTCTCTGTTTCCTGGCCTTGGCCCAGAGGGAGGGAGGGAGGAAAGGAAACTACAATAGTGCGAGGAAGTAAAAAACTCTGGGTATTTTGATAAAAAAAACACTTGGTAATCAACGTAACCCTGTGAAACCAACGGATCAGACTCACCAGAGGGAAACTTGTGATTTAGCATTCGGGGATCTACAGACAAGCATTTTTTTTAAAGGAAGATAATTACTTAGCACCAATTTCTCTCTCTCTGGTAATTTTCCCTTTTCCTTCAAGCCCCTGGCTGTGATCAACGCAGTCGGAGCAGGCTCAGGGCGCTTTAATCAGTAACACAGCTGGGCGGACGGGCGCGGTCACACACCACGGAGCACGCAGCGCCCACACCAGGACGTGGCTTCTCGCCTGCCCTGGCTCCGGGGGCTCCTCCTGGGGTTGCGATGCGGTGCTCCAGGCCCACGGGGCTTCATTCAAAGCGACGCAGGTGGTTGTACAGCGACTGGACGTAAGTGAAGACACACATGGGGTCCGGCTTGCGGCCCATCACCATCATGTCCTCCACCTCGATCAGGCGCTCGCAGTTGGCCAGGTTCCTGAAACACAGAAGCCCCATCAGAACGCAGGTCCTCGGTCCTCGACATCCGCCAGCCCCTGGCGGTCAGCCCCGCAGGAGAGGGGTACTCAGCCTGGAGCTGAAGGCTCCCAAGCGCCCCTCGCCCCCCAGCAGAGAATTCCAACCCCCTCAGGAGAACCTGTGTAGTCACTTGGTCTAACGCAGCGTTTACCAAACTCCCACATTCGGGAAGCACCCATGCAACTTAGATTTTCATCTAGGTAGACTTACATCAATTTTCAGTCAAATTAAACTAAATTTAACTTAAAAAATTCACTGTATCCCAGCAGTATATGGAAAATCAGCATAAACTATAAAAATAAATGCAGGGAACGTCCTTATTTAACCATGCGGATAGGTTCTGCAACTTTAGCAAAAGGATGTACAACGAAACCAATTTTACCAAAGGCTAACTGCTATAGAGTCCTTACCCAGGCATGTCAAACTCAACGGGCCGCATGCAAGGCCCGCTGGCCACGAGTTTGACATGCTTGCTCTACATCATCTCATCAACGTTATAACCAAACGACGTTGAATGAAACATTATTCAAGGGCCTGCTGTCGAAAGAATAAAGTAAAAACAAATCACCCCTATGCCTCCTGAAACAGCGATTCTAAACTTTTTCTAACTGTGATCCATGGTTAGAAAGAGATTTTTCATCATGATTCCACACACACATATATGTGGAAATAACATTTCACAAAAATACCCCACTACCCATATTTTCTCTATAATATTTCACCTTTATTTCTCCCCCGCCTCTTTTTTTTTAATGCTGGTGATGAGCCACTGCATTGAGTTTACCACCTACTGATGGGTTACCACTCAAAGCTTAAAACATTGCCTAAAATCACCTTGCCTCCCCTCCCCCCAGGCCCTGTGCCTCATGCAACGGGAGACACTGGTTTAATTTTGGCCACTGGCACAGACGCGTGTGGGAACTGGCGCCTTTCGCTGGATGTAACGGAAGCTGTTCCCTCCGCCATCCCAGCTGGGAGGCGGCTGCAGGCCTCGGCTCCATGGAGGTAGGACAGTGAGAACCCATAGTTCAGGGACGACCGCTACGCACCTCAGCACTGAGTCTTTAAATGACGTCTTCTGTGATGCCGAGTGACGCCTCCCCGGGGCACCAGGTGGGGCTGGCCCAGCGGCGCCAGGCAGACCCAAAAGGGCAAAGACAATTGCACTTGGTCCAGCCATCAGTGTCCTTCCTTCAACATCTGTGTGCCCTTCTGCAGTCCCAGGGGTCCCCGGTCTTCCTCACCCACATCACTAACTGCACGGCTGTCAGGGTTCCCATCCCACCTCCGTCCTTACTAGCCATCGGACTTGGGGCAAGAGACTTAAATGCTCTGAGCCTCAGTTTCCCCATCTGGAATAACAGCCACTTCACAGGGTGGTGTGAGGATCAGTGAGCTAATCCACGCAAACAAGATGGAACAGTGTCTGGCACATGGAAAGAGCTTCAAGAAACAGCAGAAAATCACCCTCCTGCCTCTGCTCCCCCTCCCAGTGGGCTCCCCCCAGCCCTGCTCCTTTTTGGGAGGTCGTGTGTCTTCATGTGCCTTGTACCCCAGAGCTGCGGCCCCGTTCCCGTGGCTCACGCAGCACTTTCTACTGGTCCCCACTGACCCTGGGCCTGCGTGCTCCAGAGACACGGCCCATGACATTAGCACAGGGCCCTGCTTCGTGGTGCTGGCCAGACGCCAGGCCTCCTATCAGAAACCAAATGTCAAGGCGAAATGGAGACAACTGTCCCAGATCCCGTTGCCGCCTCCCCCCTCGGTTTGGAGCGGGCAGCCTGTAAGAGAATCCCACAGCTTTGTGGGGTGGCGAGTGGTTTGGCCCAATGAGCGGGCACCCTTGCTCCCCAGGTCGGGCCAGACAGGGCTCAGTGTCAGGAAAGTCGGCGCTCTGACAAGGGCAGGCATGCAAAGGTGCTTTGTCCACGGTCAAGGTCTGAAAATCGGAGTTCTCCCGAGGGTTCTCCGGGGACCTGAGTTCACCTTCCTGAGCTATCGTGTAGCATCTGGCGCCCTCCTCCTCACCTGCAGCCCAGGAGAGCACCTCCCCTCCTCCCTCCCTCCCGGGGCGGCTGCCAGAAGACCTCAGGTGTGTGTGAGCGGACGCCGCCTGTGTGCCCAGGGCATCACCACCAACAGCGTGGCCTCAGCAGCCCCCTATTAAATGTGGGCAGCATTAGAACCCGGGACCTCGGCCGTGGAAGAGAACTGAAATTCCATTCTCCAAACACCCCCATCAGAAGCACCAGCCATCCCTCTGAAGGCCCTGCCTGGCCCGCCCACCGCCAGGTCCAGGAAAGGGGCCCTGGAATCCGAGGAGGACAGTGCGGATCCCTCTACAGGTGGCACTGCCATGAGAGGTTTCCCTTCGTTT